GTTATCCACATTATTTATACTGGTTTTCTCTTTTTAGCACTGCTTAACTGCATTATTAATCACTGTCAAAGAAGTTGTATAATGTCACGTGCATGGGATATTAGACAAGACTAACATACAGACACACAATATGTAGTGAGAAAGAATGAGATGCGGAACTTACATTAAGAAAAATGTAGCTCAGTAAGCTTCTGATTAGTTCTGCTGTTTGGTAGTGTTGCTAGGTTTCTTTTTATTATTATTTCCTTTTCACTGTTCCTCAAGAGCACATGCAGGCAAAGACTGTGAGATTTACTTCTTTTTTATTGTTGTGAAAGTATAGAAAAAGGAAGCAAAAAAGAGTGTTTGGCTAATTAATTATATGGTAACAAGGGACAGATGATGGCAGTAATACCAAAATTGAGAATTATTTTTTATTTACAATCAACATTTCAAATTAATATGAAAACCCTGAAAAAATAGCAATAATGAATCACTGAGCTGGACCGTTTAACTTCTAGAAATACTATTACAATTATAAGCTAATATAAAAACCCTTTATCAGTAATGGCTATAATGAAATATATTCATGGCTAATGCCAGCTCACAGCTAACAACCAACATTGCGTCTATTCTAAATAATATAATGGAAACACAATAAGCAAAATTTAAATACTAAGTCCTGAGGATAATATCAGAAAAAACAGCTAAGTCAAGTTCTTTACCTCTTTCTTTAAAATTAGAATTGAAATCTATTTTAATATTCAAGGCAAAAAAGGCTACATCCATTCTAGATATTTTAGTAAATAAATATCCACAAATCCTATAGCACATATTCTTCCCAAAATGCTATTATTATCTGTTTGGTTTCAGGTAAGTTCTACTAAGAATTCCTATTAACTTAGAAATAAATAGTAAGTGACTTGGAAGATTTGAAAGTTCATTCATCATATCATAAAACCTGATCTTAAGCAGCTTTACCCAAAGTAAAACCCAATGAGTTCAAGGGGGCTTATAGCACAATCCTAAATGGAGTAAGAAGAGCACAACTCTTTTTAGGATTGCACTGTTACTCTCAAGAGTAAGGGACTGTAGACTTAAATCTGCACTTTTTGTAAGTGTTGTAGGAGAATAAACACTGTTTTTCAGCAGAATGATACATTCAAGTGGGGAATCTGAAATTACCAGAAATATAAAATTCGGAGATGTATGGTTGAATGATTGATGGTGATCATCAATAAATTACTGACTGTGACACAGCAAGAACATATTTGAACCTGCCATAATTTCCACTGAGTTCCACTGGTATATCATGTATAAAATGTTAATCTTTCTGTACCTGTACCTGAAGTAACAATGTTTAGGCACAGTGGCTTATATGTATTGTATGAAAAGTAGAACAGGTTAGGTATACAAATAATGTTAATAAGAATATGAGGAACAATCTAATCTCTTACTTCATTTTTCCTCCTACATTTAATATATCCATTATGAAACTGGAATGTGCACTGGACTGCAGTATCTGTAATGATCTCATTTAGTCCCTTCAGATGCAACTCAACCGCTATTTGCACTCAACAGTATTTCTAGTTTGGAAATCAAATGAATGTTGGTTTAGATCATAAACTCTCAGCATTAAACTCTCAGCATTATCAATCTCCCTCTTCACTTTCCAAACCACAGCTCCTTGGGGGATGAAGCCTGCTTGGACTTCGCCCACCCAGCCAGATTCAACATAATATCTGCGATACCATTACCTAACCATACCCATATGTCAGTCAGATTTGTCATTCTACAAGCAGTTGTGGTTTTCCCCAAGCGAGAACTTCATCTGCTTTTACCCCTCCCCAACCTGCAGGAAATCAGATGTCCCACACAGAAACCCCACATTCAGGCGGCAGCTTTTCTGCTTTTCCATTAAAATGACGGATGAACAGATATCATTAGCACTATCATTAGCACACCTTCTTGCAAACTGATTTTTAAGAGCCCTGAGATACACTGGAATATAAAAATGTACAAAGTGTTTGACCAAACTTTAGGGAAAGTAGAATAAAGAGTTTAAAGTATGATATATATTGCAGTTCGCAAATGTGTTTGAAAATGATTAGTGGCTATTTCTATAGTAGTTCCCGCACCATTAATCTATGCAGTGAAATTTATGGCTGTGATCTGAATTTGGGTCTCCCGCTTCCAAATACAGAACTCTCTTTTCACTGACTAAAAAGGCACCTCCCATAGCAAACATAATCGGTACCTGTAATTTCTGTACCCGTAATTTCAAAACTTGCTTGACTAAATTTCATACCACCCAGAATAATATAAACCAGTATGAAAGCCAGAATACTTGCTAGTCCAACAGGAAACAAGAGCAATAAAATAGTAATTTCTACTAAAGTTAGATTCAGTACTCTTATGGAACATTAATCTACTCAAAACCATCTTTCTTTTTAAACACAGTCTACTTTCTGCAGCAAAAATTTACAAATAAGCACAGCAAAACAAAAATCGAAGGGAAGAAAGAGAAGTCCCTACAAGCAAAGAAATTCTGTTTTTTGTGACCAAGCAATTATTTTACTTGTGGAAAGACTACCAATAAATTGTCTCAATAATTTGAAGATCTCCTCTCTGCAGTGCTTCTTATAATGTACATATGAATTTACTAATGTATAGTTAAAATTTCACAAACATGTTCCACGATTTCTATACCAATCAATATCTATCCATATTTTCCAAATGCTTTATTAAATAATGAGCTCAACAACAAAATGGAACTTTTTGTTACTTTCTATTTACTATACTTAGGGTTGAAGCATATTAATTATTGTCAACATGGAAGAAGAGATTAAAATATGCGGCGCAGTTACAAATACCGCGATCATGTTGCACTGCCATAGATGGGAGTGTTTGACATTTGCTATTTTACGCCATGCTGCCATGATAGAAAAAGGCTGGAATATACTATGTCTTTTTAATCAAATGTTTGAAGGCAGATATTATGACAGGTTCTCGTTTTAAATTGTGCTTTTTCAACATTCATTAAAATACGTTTTTCATAGACTGCTTTCTACTATATCATCACATCTATAATTTAGGATATTTAGAACAACTACAAATGTGATATGTGCCTCCATGAAACTGTTTGATTGTAAAATTGAAGAAATCATTGATAATTTCTACATACATTTCGCAGTATCATATTCTGAAGGCCTAGCCCTACCTACTTTCACAACTTGAGTCTGAACACTATTTTATAAAAGAATGGGACAGTGAAACTTACTTCCATTTATTACTGGCTACACATCAAAAAGAAAGGGCTCCTAGCAGGATTCTTATGAATATCTAAACTTTCATATATAAGCAAAGGGCATAAAAATTCTCCTTGCTTTACAGCTCAATGGCTTAGGATGAGAATGGATATGGTGTGCTGTTGTGTTTAAATCCAATACTGGCTGTCATGGACTTTTAAAATCCCACACTACATAACTGTCAAAATATGACATGCACATTAATATTTCCTTAAAACTATTTCCATTATTTCTATTAAGAATATCTGGCTACATATTGTCCTTGAACACTAGCAATGGACTTTAAAAATATCAATATCAAAATCTTTGCAAAAAACACACCTTACAAAAAACAACAACTCTCCACTGTTTCCAAATATTAACAACTTAAAGGGATTAGGTTCACTTTAAACAATTCCTGTGAGAAAGCTTTACAAGTCCGTAGTTAAACAAACAGGCTAGTATTACTTTGCAACACATAGCAGATTTCGTTTCTCATAAAATTTGGAAACTGAACATAAAAAAGACTTCATTAGAAAGTTCAGAAAAAGATTGTTTTTGTACCATATGATAAATTTCCTTACTTCACCCTAGTTTTGCTCTCAACTAGTCAAACAATGATACAGCAACCTCCGTTAATTTGACAATTTTAAAATGTATTGAATAGTAGCCAAACAGTATCCAGGATTTTTTTAAAGTATGACCAGATACTAAAAAAATATTTGTGCATATAATTATATAGCTTCAGTACAGTATGCAATGAATATAATGTATTATATTGCACATTTTTAACTGCCACAGGAATTTTGGCAGGTTAAGTAATGGGATATGTCTATTTTTTAATTAAATCCAGATGCCTATTATGTAGAACTCATGTTTCACCTAATAAATGCAATCTGAAGAATTAATCTTCAGACGTTTCTTTAATTTGAAAATACAGACAATATAGACAACAAGATGTATGCTCTTCAATTTTTCCTCTTTTGTGTACGGTAAATAAAAATATCCATAGAACAGTTGGTGTAATTATAGCGTAATTATGTCCTTAACGTTTTAGTGCATTTACCGCCGGTAAGAGTAATGCAACTTTAAGGAAGAGTAAATGTTCTCCTTCTGATATTGCTAGCTATAACTTATATATAATAGTTACAACTTATATATAATAATATGTATTCCAGCATATCTGCCTCCAGTCAATACCAAGTCTTGATGCAACCACATTTAAAAGTGAAAAAGACAATAAACGCCAACTTTTGCAACATAAACACAGCTAACGGCGGGTACATAAGCGCCATAATGTTTTTATTTGTGTGGTGAACTGGATTTCCTCTTCGACAGAGAAACTCAGCGCAACCTAAATTTTGAGGAACAAAATTCAACTTTTCAGGCTGCCCAACAAGGGGCTCTACCTCATACGTCACAGCTACGGGAAAGTCAGAAAGGTGAGAAACCCTAGCGCTTCTGATTTGGTGGACATATCAAACAAGCGCCCCAGGCACTTGTCTATGGATCCTCTTTTGTCTCTGGTGCTTTGAGACAGACCAGAGTTTCTCGACTTAATCCAGGGGGGAAAGGTTTTACAAGCAGAAATCTCTGGCACTTCCCTGTCTCTGCAGGAGTTCAACAGGAGGGGGTAAAGAAGAGAAACAGACCGGAGAGGACTGCAGAGTCCCCCCCCCGCCTCTCGCCTCTCGCCTCTCCCCCCTCCCCCCGACTTCCCCGCGCGGCTCTTACTTTTGGATGAGTTGGGGCAGGCTGGGTGTCGCCGGCATCCCCCTGGCGGGACCGCTGCTGGCGCCTGACTGGAGGTGGGCCGAGCCGCGGGCATCCCTGTCAGGCTGCTCGGGTCCATTGGGGTCCGGGGCCTGGTTCATGGCAGCCGCAGGGACCATGCAAGGCAGAGCAAGGGTCAGCCGGCGGCCCCCGAGGCGCCCTCGGAATCAGCCCGGAGCACGAGCGCGGCCAGCCGCCTGATCTCCGACTGGACCGCCTGCCCCGCCGCAACTCTCGAGCAACAGGCGGCGGCAAGTGCCACTGGCGCGCGCTCGCTCACTCGCCCTTCTGGACGGCGCCTCCGCTGAGGGGGCAGCAAGCGCCTGGGGAGAAGCATTTATGGCGATGCCTGGCGCAGCGGAGCCAATGGGGGGAGGAGGTGCCCCCTCCTGCGCCGGGAGCCCGCGCGGGAGCCTCGGCCGCCTCGGGGATTTCGCTGACAGGAGAGGGGGACGCGCAGAGGAGACGAGCCTACGCACTGTTGCCTAGTGGGGATGGGAGAAGGGGCTGCTGCCGGGGGGGGGGGGGGTTCGTCGCTCCCGGCGGAGGAAATGCAGAAAATGAGTGTCTTTATACCCCGCGTAGCCTTTAGGAGGCGCAACGATCTGTTTTCGCTCCTTCCTCATCCCCTCCCCCTTTTTGAAGTTTTGGCGTTTGCAACCTCCAGCGCACACGTGCAGTTGACTTTCCTCGGCGCTGTGTCCCGGATTGGACACAGGTTGAATCACGTGGGTTCTCACGTTACGAAGGCAGTGTTCTCCCCCACCCCCTTTTGGCGGGAAGTCGCTTTTAAGGATCGTAGCTGTGTTGTGCGATATCCATCTCTAGCTTAACTATTGCGCTGTGTCACTCCTTCGACGACATAGCTCTGGAAGCTCGGTGCCTGAAGAACCTTTTCATTCCATATGCTTCTTAGAGGGAAAGCATTTCTGTTAAGGAAAGTGTGAAAGGTACATGTATGTTGCTACATGATCGCCCGTGGATGTACTTTGCTACATGCAGAAACACCGGGAAACCACCGGTCGGCACAAATTATGGTTGCCAAGTGCTTGGAGAAAGAGTGCTGCTGTGTCCCTTTAATAGAGGTTTAATGCGATGTTGTTTCCCAGATGATATTACTTACTGGATGTCATGAAAAGCTTCACCAGTCAGTTGCCACACATTTTTTTGCCTCCAGGTTGTTGGCAATCCCAGCAAAAATCCCACACAAATATTGTTTTGTGCTGCAGTATATGAGTATTGGTGTATTGCTTGCTACACTCAAGTATTTTCCACATACAAAAACGGTATAATGAAGCAGACCTTAAAGAAGACATATCTCCACTTTGTTTGCGGAGTTCTGCCAAGCTTTCCCTTACATTGGTTTCATATCCTGTATTCTACTGATATATATGTTTTTAATTAACAGTACTAGAGGCATGCAAATTTGTATTTGCTGTGCAGACATATGGGTTGTTATGTCCTATCCATATTTCAAAATGTTTGGATGTGTAGTGAGAGACAAATGTAAAACTTACAGGCCTGGAATAGCACCTTAAAAAGTAGCCCAAAATGATGCAAATTAACTGAGAATATCCTTGTAACATGATTTTACTCAGAATCTTCTTAACACTTATAAGGAACTCCATGTTTATTTCAGATGTCTTACAAAGGAATGAGAAATTGTCTGATGAATTTTAATTGGAACCATTTTTTGCTTCCAAATAAAAGCTTCAGTGTATACAAAAGGCACCATTAATATTTTGTGTGTTAAACTGGTTCTACTGTGGAGGCAGCTAACAATCTCAAACATCCTATGCAGCTATATTGCACAACAGGTTTGCAAAGGAACATGTTATGAGACATATGTGGCAAGAGTACATATTTTAAGCCACTATGAGATATATACATAAAAGCCATGAGTGCTATATATATATCATTGCTATCTGAAGTATTTATAGAATTCTGCAGCAAACTACTGTAATTTCAAAATTTGCTCTTTGGAAGGCTAAAATGAAGGAAAAAATGTTTGAAAGCAATATAAAAAAAAAACCATGCTCTTCAACAGAAGGAACCCAATCTCTGGAAAAGTAATAACTAAGCAGATGCCAATGCAAACTGCTCAGGTAGGTTTCAATGGAAAAAGAACAGGGCAGGGAGTTGTTTTTAAATAACAGCTTTTTCATGTTTAGGCTGATTCATGGTTGACTATTGTGCATGTTAACCAGGAATGAAGGAAAGGCGGGAAACTATGAAGAACACTCTCAGATCAATAAAACAGGATATCCATTTATATTAGCATAACTATAATGACTCCCCCCCCCAAAGAAACCTGGGAGGGTTTATATGTAAGTGGAAACTTATCTTTAAAATACAGTATGATTTTGTTTGAGCAATCATATCACCAAGCCAAGGATTACCAGTTCTCATGGACTGGAAGTTTTAGAGTTTTTCAGGGAAAGGAGTTAAAGAACTGGGAGAAAAGAGGTTAGCCATCTTCCCCAGAGTCCATTGGCAGCATTGCAATGGAAATCTCTATTCCTCCTCACATAATCCCCCCCCCCCAGAATTATAGATCCCAGAGGATAGGGAATTGCTAGTAACATATCCTGTTTTCAGCAACATAAAACCATCGCCAGATCATATTGCTCTCAGTGTCTCATTGGAACAATTCATCTGCAGTGGGCTGTGGGATGAAGGGGACTCATCATAGCATATTGTTGAAGCACTTGGATTCCTTAGTTTATGAATGTTAGCTGGAGCACTGAAAGGTGGTAAAAAGAGATAGTGGATAGGCTCTAGCCAAAACCAGGAAGGGGGCTTGAAATAATTATTATCATATGGCAGTGTGTGTAGAATAGCCAGGAAATCCTAAGATTCTGACAGCCAGAAGTCCTAGCTCTTTTAGCATTATGCACCACTAGGTGGCAACCTAGACTTGTTTTTAAGGCAAGGGACATTTCAGAGGTGGTTTGCCATTGCCTGCCTCTGTGTCACACCCCTAATATTTCTTGGAAGTCACACATCTAAACTAGCCAGGGCTGACCCTGCTTAGCTTCCAAGATCTCACGAGAGAGGTTCTGTAGCTTGACCTTGTGCTTTCTGTATTATAAGCAAACATGTGCTTTAGACCTACATTTATTCTCAGATCTTAAATGGCTGTTCTTTAGTGAAATGTGATTCTCCAGCTGCCCTGCATATCATGCACCTACACATTTGCACCTGTACAAGAAATCTGTACAGTGAGTATAAATATATAATAGCCACTTTGGGTAACTGGAAATTTCCAATTTAACACAATTTTCACCAACTTGGCTTAAGTGTAAATGATTTTAGAAAATATTTTAAATTCACATATACACAGTTACTGATAACACCAGCATAACTCAAAGATATGGTGGTGTAGCACTGACACCATGCTGGTATATGTACTGCTGTAGGTGTATAAGCATAATGGGCCAGGAATCAGTGACATTGGAGTGGAATGACAGTGTAGAAGTGGAGCTCAGTTGGTATCCTAAGTGCCCTTGTTTTTTGTCTCACCGCTGGCATAAACATCATACCAGCAGAAGCCTTGTAAGTATAGACATTCCCAGTGAATTCATTGGGAGTGGGGGAGGGGAATTGTCTGTACATGTCTCCTGCCACACCTCACAGTCACACTACAGTTTAGAATACTAACTGTGCAGCCAATCACAGCTCCTAAATGCTATATAAACCCCAGGTAGGAAGCCCATAACTCAGATGATGGGACACAGGCATACTTAGTATCCACATACATCGAGAGACTTCAGTGATGGAAGCTCTAAAGAAAGGGTGCTTTCTACAAGAAGAGAGCACTTTGTAGTTAAGTTCAGTTTAGTTTATTGTAATTAGCCATTGGCTGTTACAAGATTACAAAATACAAATTGTGAACAAACTGTAAGTTAATATCAGAATATACAAAAGTACCAGAAATCAATAACAAAATATGACTAATTTAATACAGTAGCCTGAATAATGCCCCTTGCAATAATATACCTTGGAACGTATATTCTTTGCAGCAAGGGCAAATAGTGAAACTTTATAAGAGACATATGCATCAATGCAGGGGTCATTTCATAGAAAAAGAGGTGTAGGAGCTCATTAGCATAACTTATTTGCATACACCACACCCCTTGACATCACCGGAAGTATGTCAGAAGGCAAGAAAGAAAGAGAGAAGGAAAGAAAGAGAGAAAGAGATGGGGAGGAAGGAAGGATAAAGAAAACAAATAGGGAGAGAGGAGGGAAAAGGAGGGAGGGAGGGAGGGAGGGAGGGAGGGGAGAGCTGGAAAGAAGGCAAATAGCCCCATCTTCCCCAAATCAACATCTCTGGTGATCCTAGTCCATAACAAACCAAGACAGGGTCTTTGGCACCCTAAATTCTTTGCTCTGCAGCCACCCTCCTTGTTAAAGTGACATTTCCCCTCTCTTCCCCTCCCCCCCAACACTTGTTTTTGGACCTATTCACTCTAATCCCTATTAGTGATGGCAAAATGCATCCAGATTTAATCCAGATTTAATTCAGATTAAAACCACCAAGTCTATACATGATGAGTAAATCCAACTGAACTCATGGGGATCCACAACTTGGTAAGCCACATTTCCTCGGGAGTAGGACCCAGTAGCACCCTGTGGTTTACTTATGAGTAAACATGTATGGCATTGGCCTGTATCAAGAGAATCCAGATTTAATCCAGATTAAAACCACCAAGTCTATACATGATGAGTAAATCCAACTGAACTCATGGGGATCCACAACTTGGTAAGCCACATTTCCTCGGGAGTAGGACCCAGTAGCACCCTGTGGTTTACTTATGAGTAAACATGTATGGCATTGGCCTGTATCAAGAGAACTGGGACGTCTTTTGGGGGCCACCAGAGGAAGAAAGTCCTGATGAGCTGGATGGGGCTTGTGTGCACCTCAGCATGGAGGAGCTGGGGCTGTGCCTTAACCCCATCCAAAGGTCAGTCGGAGCCATGCCTTCTGGGCTAGGGGGGCTGCGCTGTGCTCCCAGCCATGGGTCTGACACAGAAGAGAGTCAACTGCAGGTTGCCTGACGAGGTGGTGGCAAGGCCGCCTCGTCACTGGCTGCGCCCCACTGGTTGGCCGTCGGGCTTAATTTGTTTCCACGTGGAGCGCATAAAGGAGGCCCGGTGAGGGAACGGAGGGTGCAGCTTGGCTCCACAGCCGACTGGCTGGGCTCACTTCTGCCTCACCCCCATACGGTGGGAAGCAGTACAGCAGTGGCGGCCGTGAAGGGGCAGGGAAGGGAAGGGATGTGGGTCACCCAGGAAGGTGGTGAAGGCACACCGAGAGTAGCTGCAGCAGATGCTCCCGGGCCAGCCACCCCCAAAGGACTCAACGGACAATGAAGCCCAGCACCAGGTGAGCCAAATCATGCCCCGCAGGGCTAGGGAGTTTAATGGGGTGGGGCGGGGCAAGAGGTGCTGGGGCTCAGGCTGCACAGTGTCATCATCCCCCCCAGCGCTGTTTGGAAGTCCAGCCCCGAACTCCGGGCTCACTCCTCGTTGCTGTCACAGATACTCTCTTCTTTGCTCACCAGGAAGCACAGGCTTCTCAGTTCCCTCAGTTTATGCAAAAGGAGACAAGAACCATTCAAAGCTATATCACGAAAGAGTAACTACGAATGCTGCCAACTCCATGCAGCCACTAAACAACGACATGGGGGGGGGGTAATAAAAGCAGGTGCTGTTTCTAGTCGTGTGCTCCAAGCTGTGTGTGTGGGAAAGGTGAGAGAAGCAGAAGAGGATGTAGGAACGCAGCGGTAGCCGGCGCTTAATTCCCAAATTGAAGGCTGCAAGAAGCCCAGCATACTCGGAAGGCACAGCCTTTGCCCTTATAAGCAACTTTATAAGTGGCTCTCCCTCTCTCCCCACCCCACCTCAGACCCCCCTCCCCACCTTCCACATCAGGCCCCACCGCGTGCGCCCGCAGCTGGCAAGAGCAGGGCTGAGGCTGAGCCGCCTCCCATGATGCCGGGCAGGTCATCGGGCAGCAATGGCAGGTGATTCTGCGGCTCTGGCACACACTCCGCCAAGCCGCCTGCGGGAGGTGACTGGCACTGGCTGCCAGAGCGCTGCTCTGGGTCCAAATGACCCCTGCATCAATGTCAGATAACAAAAAATGAAATTTTATCCTCAACTGGCTAAGCACTAAGACCAGATAAAATACTTGCTAAAAATTTAGCCCTCAGACTAGAATACAGTGGGCAAAAGAGGATATAGTGAGGTAAATCCTCAAGTCCATGGGTGCCACAAATACATAGACGATGAACCAATTTGATTAAATCGGCCCTCCAAAATTGCCGTTGGCATTGATCAAAACCGTACAGAGGTAAAGAACGCTCTTAAGTACATGTTTAGAGATATTGACTAAATATGGAGTTCTAGTATGGTCCGATTTAATTGAGTTGTACCATGGTGCCACTTTTGATTTTAATATAAAAGAGCGGTCTAGCCGAGCGTCAAAGTCATAAATCCAGTTTCTAAGTTGGGATTTATCAACTGATGTTCCCAAA